TATATAATATATATTGTATAAAAATTATAAACCAAACGGATCATAAATATAAAAAAGTATGTACCTTATTATATTGGTCATATATATGTCTATAATTAATTCTACATAACTGTTATGGAATTAAAATTGATTTCCTAAGATTCTTTATAATTAAGCAATAGCAATACACATATTATATATATATATGTATATAGACATGTGTACTTCTTAATATGAACACACATATAGTACATATTTATAATAATTATTCTTCACAAAGTATCAAACATTTTTTCCTATAATATATGCTTCATCATAATAAATCTGCAAATAATATATAATTATTATTTATTGTAAAATAATAAATATAATATTAAATGTCAAACCAAAATCTTGTGCTACAAAATGATGCGTACCTTTTAAAAATATATAGTAAATATTCATAATATTTGTAATCCTGGTGATATTTTCATATTGGCGGTTGTTCCATCATTAGTTTTCCGTATCCAATTATTGACATAGGAAGCCTTCATTCTATTAGTATATTTAATATAATTGTACGATAGATATAAATCAGCTCGCAGTTATCGATGACAATGTATGACAATTAATAAATTTTTAATATATTTTTTTTATTTTTAATGTTAATGACAATAAAGATTACAGAAAGTATATATATATATATATATATATATACAATATATATAACAGAAAATGACATATATATACTATATTTACAATAATATACTTAATATTTAATAGTTTAATACATATTGATTACACTATTTTTTTTAAACATATTAACTTTAAATAAAAAGTCAAAGTTTAAATAAATTTAAAAAAATTAAAAGACTTTAAAAAATTATTATTTATTACTAATAAATTGTTCTAATAAATTTCATTTTACACTAAATTAATATTGTTCACAGTTGACAGATAACGGCATGGACAATTGATACATTCTTCCGCTATAGGAAGAAAGATTATCATATTTTTACATAAAAATGTAGATATATCTTCAAATAAAACAAATTAAATTTAAAAAAATGCAACTGTACAATGTGCATATCTACTTAAAATGACGTCTCTTCGTTCAAAATACATTTAGCAAAATATAAATATATTAATAATATCTATAAAATAAACGAGTTTTTAATTGCATTATGCATTTTTTTATGATAATCAGTCTCATGTCTCTAACAAGAAATTAAATTTTTTTTACACGTATTTTTTTCAGATTTAATTACTCTATACCCCCCCTCCTCCATAAACAAATATATAATTATTCACATTCAGAAATTACAAGATTTAATTATTATATGACATATAGATTTCGTACTTATATTTTTTAGGCTATGATTACAATGGATGCATATTCTAATAAATATATCAGAACTGAGTATTTTTTACAAGAATATTTACATTGAATGAGTACAGTCATCAAATATTTAAACAAATTTATTTCTTCGAATTTATATGGATTTTCTAAATTAGATATTGAACAACTAATCATTTTAATGAATTAGTTTTAAAAATAGTAATCTGTGTAAGAGAAAAATTTATCTAAATTCAGATACATCTAATAAGAGAAGTAGAAGATCAGTCAATGCTGTTGTCATTTCTTTCTCTTAAAGCAAATATTTTATTTATGTATGCATTTGTTTATTTACAAGTAAAATAACGAATTTTTAAAAAATATAAATCATCGATATCATCCATTTATGTAGTTGCAACATTTAAAAGTTCTAAAATCCCAAACTTTGAGATTATAAGACTACGTTTCGTCAGAATATTTACTACAACCATCTATTTCTAATATTTTGGATGAATTCATTCTGGACGAATTTATCCAAACAAAAATAAGTTCATTAGAATCATCCACTGTATCCGTAGTCTTAATGGCATAATCATCAATTACTTTCTATTTATATTTCTTAATATATTGACCGTGTATAGTCAGAGAGTACAGATCAAAATAAAAATCAGAGGGTTACATTTAACACTAAATGCAACATCACATGGCAGTGAATATACGAGCTTCGAAAAATGTTTTGTTTATTTGCTTTCATTATGAGACTTTATATGAGAGTTTAGTGAGCCTTGTTGCGTAAATCTCTTTTGACACACCTTACATTCGTAAGGTTTCTCGCCGGTATGCGTTCTTAAATGCACGATTAGGTATTTTCGTACGCTAAACGCCTTGCCACATACCTCGCAAACGTGTGGCTTTTCACCTGAATGTATACGCATGTGAATTTGTAGGTACGTTTTGCTGCTGACAGATTTCCCGCACACTTCACATGTGATTTGATTCTCGCCAGTATGTATCTTAAGATGTACTTTTAATGCGGCCTTCCAGTAACTCTCGAAGTCGCAGATATTGCACTTGTGCTTCTCTCTTTCGCCGTGGGATCTCATATGCATGTTGAGATATGCTGCACTCGCATACGGGGTGTTACATACTTTACACACAAATGGCTTCTCGCCGGTGTGAGTGAGCAAGTGCCGCTCCAGCGTTTGATTCGTGTAGAAGCCTTTGTTGCAAGTCTCACAATAAATTACATATTCCTGATTGTGCTTCTTTTTGTGCAAACGCAAATCATATCCGGAAACTTTTGATACACCGCATATGTCACAGGTGAAACGTTTGTTATGCTGCTTCAGATGAGTCTTCAAGAACTCCTCGGTCTTAAAACACTTACCGCACATAACACATTGAAAAGGTTTCTCCTTTTGATGTGCTCTTATCTTATGTTTTTGCAGCTTCTCCTGATTATCGAAGATCTTATCGCACTCCTCGCAACGATCTTCAGTCTTTGGATTCCTCTCGTGGTCTTGTCTGTGCTTCAAAAATTGTAGCTTCTTGAGTATTTGCTTCCCGCAAATTTCACATTCGTAAACTATCGCACGCTTGCGATTCGAATTGTGTTCGGAAACCTGTTTTAGAATACGTATTTCCGACGCAGGTTCTGATTTGTCGTCCGAATCTTCAGACTTATATTCAATCGTTTCCATAACTATTTCTTGATCAATGTGATGATACTCTGCCACTATAGGTACTTCGTCTTGATACCGTACTAACTCTATACCTCGCAATTCGTCAATTGGGTCCAGCTTTATATCCTCTATGTCAATCTCGTCGCACCTGTAATAAATAAATCTGTCAACAGCGCGAGGAAGTAATGGAAAACTGTGTTATAATAAATATAATATCAGTTGACAATTGATTTACTTGAACTAATTATTTTCACACATTCTTGATAAGTTCCACAGAAAGCACTTTCTTATTATACTTATTGAGTCAATTAATTAGTCAATGACTTTAACTATCACTATTCGACTTGAGTCTTATTCGAAATTAGGTAATATAAACTTACAACTATTTTATAAAGTTTGTTAAATTTCTAATCATATATATATATATGTATATATCATATTTTTAAAGTTAAATATTATGCAATATTTTACTTTGTACTTTTCTTCAAATTTTTATAAATTAAAGACTACTATAGAAATCTAATTTACACTCTGAAGATACGATCTACACAATTAATAACTTTTCTAAAAACTCGGTTGCTTAATCAAAGTAATATATAATTCTTGTTTTAAAAAGAAAATTTTGCATTTTTTTCTATCCTCCCCTCCTCAAATAAAATTTTCTTTAGAACTTTATTCGACTTTAGAGACTTTTATTACTAATTTTGCTATTATTTAAAATTTTATCATAAAAGATATATTTTACACACACTTCAAATTTATTTCAAAAATTTTATATATTTGAGTCAATTATGAAATGATTTTGAAAATGGAATACAAATTATAAATAATATAACAAATTACAGAAGCATATTAAGATTTATTATATTATATGTACAATGTATACAATTTAATACAAAGTATTCAATTAAAAATGTTTATATATATTTGATTATATCTGATCAATATTTTAATTATGAATATAAAAACAAATATTTGTTAAAACTATGTAATAATGTATTATTTGTTAACACTGTAACAATGTATTAAATAATAGTATAGTTTAAGAATAGTTATGTAAATCAATAAACAATAAAAAAAAAATACGTTATTATCAAAATTTAATAATTTTCGTGCAATTATTAAGTCATGTTTTCATGTATCATTAAATTAAATCCAGAAATATTAACTGACTTCATATTTTCAAGCAATTTTCTTAACAAGTTGACTATAATTAATATCACTATCATTTAATTAACTATGTAGATCATATGGAACATATTAAATAAGAAATATTAATGTATTAAAATAATGAATCAGTGAAGTAACAGAAATTACACTAATCAACATCAATGTTGTGTAATGCAAATATGAAGTTAGTTTAAAAAGAATTGTGTATAAGAGATTTTGGAGAAAAACAAAAAAATAACAAGAAGGAAGACGCTTTCATTTAGGATTCTCGTGTCTCCGAAGATGCGCAGTAAGAGTGCCCCGTTGGGTAAAATGTTTCTCGCAGATCTGACACCTATAAGGCTTTTCACCAGTATGAGTTCGCCGATGTTTAATCAAATATTTCCTAGCGCTAAACGCTTTACCACAAAATTCACAAATCTCCGGTTTCTCACCAGTATGTATTCTAATGTGAGTCTTCATGTATTGTCGTCTGATTAATTTGCCACATACTTCACATGTCACATTGTTCTCGCCGGTGTGAGTCCCCAAGTGCTCCTTGTAATAATTGCTATAGATTGTCTCAAAACTGCATATATCGCACTTGAATTTCTTGCTCGTCTCGGCATGAATCTTCATGTGATTTCGGAGATAGATTGGATTTGCGAAGGATTTGTGACAAATCTCGCAGATGCAGGACTTTTTGTCGGTATGCATGGCCATGTGATACTTCAGAGAAGCCTTTAAGTAGAAGCCCTTATTACAAATCTCGCAGAAGTCCGTGAACTGCTTGTTGTGCCGCCTGATGTGAATCCTTAGATAATATTCTGAAGTCAGTTTCGCACCACATATCTGACAAATGTGCGGTGCACCATGTAATGTTTTGTGCACATTCAAATACTTTTGCTTCTTGAATACCTTATGACACTGATCACAAATAACGGGACCTGCCGACAATTCCTTATCTTTTTCTCGAACCTTCTTGATTTTTTCTGTTTGTTTAATTTTCTCTGTCTTCTTAATCGTCTCAGTCTTGAATGTTTCTACAACTGTTTTTACAACTGTGTCTTGCTTCTTTTGTGTATCCAGAGAATGCCTACATAATATCCGGCGATGATTAATTAATTGCAAATTATTCGAGAAAGTTTGTCCACATATGCCACATTCATGTTTCTTTTTTTCTGCTTGACGCAACGCTTCTCGGGTTCTAAGTATCGATTGCTCCGTTTTATGCACTATCAAATTGGCTTCGGTATTAAAATCTTCATTGCATGAATCACAATGGTAGGCGGTTAACTCCTGAACAAGAATCGTTTGTGCAAAAGTTTTGTCACCAATCCCTTGAAGAATAACAAAGGCTGGGCTTTGATCTTTTCTTTCTATTACAGATTTTTGAGATATTCTGGAAATCCATTTTTCCGTTCTGAAAAGAAATAAAAAAAAATTATATTTATAATTAAAAAATGTTTTTAACTCTAAAATAAGATATTTAATCAATTTATGTTACATATGTTAGGCAGTTAGACGATAGACATAATTATATGAGATAGAAAATTGTAAATAAAAGAAAAATTATATAATAAAAAAAATTGTAAAGTGAACAAATCAATAAAGTTTATTTAAAAAAGCACATTTTTATGTTTATTAAAATCTTCAAATACAGTAAGAAACTTAACAAATATATATAAAATATCAAAATCTTGCTACTTACTGTACAATTGGAAAGCTGCGATCTCAGTGACACATTGAATTAAATATTTTTCATACTATAGAAGTTATTGCCAATTAAAATACTAAAGAAAATACATAAATCTAGGAAAAAGTAAATTCTTTTTTAATTTACATGTTAATTTTTAAGATATCAAATTATTTATATAAAAGAGAATAAAATAAAATAACAAATGTTTTCAAAAGTAAACTTGCAAAATCGAACGATTGTTAAAAAATTCAATATTTTACACATAGTTCTAATCTATTTTTTTTTTAAACATTTTTATATATTAGATGTTTTTAAACAATTTTTAAGCATAATATTTCTAAAGAATTATAACATTTTATTAAAATAAAAATCACATAAAAATAATATTAAAATAAAATAAAAATGATTAAAAAAAAAAGTTATTTTATGTAAAGTATCACGCAAAAATATCAAACTTTGTAAACGTATAAAATATATTAATATTTGGAAAAGAAGAAAGTATTTTCTGCGAATTTCTATAAAGACTTGAATTTCTTTTATTGTCAATATCTGAAGTTATATAATACATGATATAAGAAATTAATGCTTACAAGAGATAATATATCAGAACTTAAATACTGCTAATAACAATCGTGTAAAATGCGATAAAAAATCATATTATAATAATAATACTTCTACATTAAATTATTCCAATTTTTCTTATAAAAAATAATATAATTACAAAATTAAATGTCTGATATTTATGCGATTAAGTAAAGATACTTATAATCAAATTTCATTATTACAAAATTATAATACCAAAATACAACTTTTATTTTATTAAAAAATACTTTGAAGAACTTTAGTCTCATTTCTTTTTCCTTCAGAAATATAAATAAAGGTCAATTTAATTACATTGTTCATAAATGGATATAATTTCACTGGAAGATAGTAAAATACATATTTATAAATGTTCTGCAAAACTACAGCAATTTTCATTAAACACTATTATATCGCTAATCGCTTATAATAGATTTATTCCATAATTTTTACATAGTCGTGTACTTTTTTTTAAAATAGTAAACAACAAAGGCACAGGAAACTTGTTTTATAACAATTAGACAATTATTATTATATTCAAAGAGCATATAATTATTTACTAAAATATATCATTAATAAATTTCTATGAAGATAAAGACGCGCACACGAAACAAATACCAAATAAATATCTGTTTATACATCATATTAGTATTACAAGTAAAACAAATATAAAGCATAAAGTCAAAAAATAAAAGTGTTACACTGTAATAGAACTAAAAAATTATGGACGGCTTATAACAGTTTGTGAAATCACTTGTATTTTCTAATGTTTTGAACAAATAATGAACAAATCTCAAATCACTATAAACTAATATACAAAAACTATTTATTGTTTCGAATTTGTCTTAATTTAATTATAGTAAAATTTCATTGGTCTAAAATCTTTCACAATTTGATCAAATTTCATAAAGTAATTAATTTTTAATAAAGATTGCATATATATTGTACAGTTTATTTGCAAAACGTTTTGTTTACATAATTTTTTGATTGACGATTATACTCACATTACTCATCAACTATAATAAATAATTAGTATGATCATGTAAGTTTTTGAAATTAGATGTTATGTATAAACGTCAATAATATCAAACTTTTCAAAGGAATAGGGAGGTACCTACCTCGCTTAAAATAAATCAGTGAAAATTTTATCAATAATTAAATCAAAGGACTAATATAGGACTTCACTGAGAATCAATAAGTGTTTCATTCATTTTAATGTAGATATTCATATTTTGTTCTTCTGTCTTATGTATCATGACTAAAAGAAATAAAAAATTAACAATCATACACATCCGTGTCATATAATGTATAAGATTTTTTGTATTTTGGATTGCTATATTTTCATGAAATTTTCACGTTTGAAACCTACATAACTACTTCACATTGAGAATCAGGTATTATGCTTATTTATGTTTAAACCTGCTAATGTTCATTATTTTCAGCAATTCAATATTACAAAACAATCATAGAATGTATATTGAAATCTTGTACAAAAATTTATTTAAAATTTCTGAAATTTTCAGATATTTTTATTCAAAATTTAAAAATAAAAGAATTTTTTAACGCAACTTTAAAACAAAGGAGAAAAATTGAATTACATGTAACATAAATAAGGCATAGATTGAAAATTAGATAGTAGAAAATAGAGATTCTACAATAGATAGTTTCAATCTATCGTTTTTTTTATAATCATGTTTTACGTATATCTATCTATAGAATAGTACATAAAAAGCGTATTACAATGCAATATAACTGATTTTATTTTGCTGACAATAAGTATTGTTTTTTTACTGACTTTTTTAAATAAAAATTCGCGAGATAACAGTATACGTGAATATACGCGGATGTGCATGCCATACATATTGCTAACTCAACATTTTATATTATCAAGAAAAATGCGCTAACTTTTTACAACTTTCAATTATTATGATATACTATATATTGATTCAGTTTAGAAATGATCCTAATTCGACAAAATATTTGTTCATATTTTAATCAATCAAGGCTTATTACAAGTATATTTATCACCTAATTTAATATAGCGTAAAAAATATCACTACCAAAGCAAATTTGTATCTTACAATATACTTCCACCAGTTATTTTATAGAATGAAAACGCTTATCGATTTGTGTAGATTGCAAAGTATCTGGCAGTCATTTATATATTTTCTTTGCATCTTCTACTAATATCACCTTCATTGATGAAACATAAAAAAAGCTCTATTATTTTATAAAAAAAAAAAAGTATGGAATCTAAGCAATCACTGTTCTCTAACTACAACACTATAGTGACTGTTTCAAACGGCAATGTTTCTTCTTCCTGTTGCGAACTTTCTTGCTGCTGTTGCTGCTGTTCTTGTTGCTGTCGAGCGTTTTGTTTCGCGTGCGTTTTTAAGTGCGAGTTCAGCATCGTTTTTGAAGCAAATGATTTATGACAGTATGTGCAAGGATAAGGCCGATCACCTGTGTGACCTCGTAGATGTACTACCAACGTAGTCCGTTGAGTAAATCTTTTGTTACAATGAATGCATTGATGCGGTTTTTCACCTGTATGCGTGCGACGATGCACGCTCAGGTAATTCTGCGAGATAAAGCCTTTGCCACAAACGTCGCAAACATGAGGCTTCTCGCCGGTGTGCTTGCGCTGATGCACCGCGAGATAAGTCTTGCTGGATACGGACTTGCTGCATATCGTGCATACGTACTCGTTTTGTGGTCCTACGTTGTCGTGGGTCTTCATATGCACTAGCAACACTTGTTTACGAGAGAAACGCTTGTTGCATAGCTCGCAATGGTGTTTCCTTTGAGGCTGTACGTAGCCCGGTTGATGTAACTTCGAGTGTAACCGTAGACCTTGGCGGTAGCGAAATGTGGCATTACACACGTCGCACTGAAACGACTTTTCATTTCCATGCGACAGCAGATGTACCTGACAGTTGCTCTTGCTCTGGAAATGTTCGCCGCATTCCTCGCACTGATACTTGTAATTAGATACATCGTGACACTTTTGATGGGCGATTAAGTTCTCTTTGTGGGAAGTCACGTAGTCACAGTTGTCACAGCTAAAACAGTTTTCGGTAATGTGTTCTTTCTGATGATCATACAGCTTCGATATCGTTATGAAGCTACAACCGCAAGTCTCGCAAACAAATTGCTCGTCCTGCTGCGGCTGCACTTGTTCTTCGTGCATCTTTAAATGCGAATTAAAAGCTTGTTCACAGATGAAATTGCCGCCACAAATATTACATAGCAAGGCACTCTTGTAGGCGAGCGTCGTCTTCTTCATCTTCTTCGATTGCATGGGGTCCGCTAGTAACTGCACGTGCTTTCGCCTGATGAAGACCTTCCTGATTACGCCGGGCCCAAACTGCTGCCGATCCCGAGGCAGCACCGTGAGTTTTGACACAAAATATCTGGAAAGAAGAGAGACACAAACGGAAGTCAATCAGTGCTCGTTCCTCGTTGCCTCTTTCATTCTTTAGCGTTGCCTTAACCAGGCCTTACGTAAGCGAGATATGTACAGGGATGATCAGCTGAATACTCGTGCTCGATTGTATGGAAGTTGGGTAGTCAATAAAGCGCCTTACTTGTGATTTCCAGTATTTTCTTTATTACGTAGCGATTTGCCCTTTATTTTTTCTCATCGATGTCTTATACGCTTAAACAATGATTATTCGCGAGCAAACACAGTCGTCTTCTGTACTATTTGTTGTACTTGCAGCCTTGTTTACATGACTTTATACTTGTAGCGTATAATTCGCAACTACGAAATACCATTTATATTCTGCTTTCTTAATACTAATATTGTGTTTATATTGTGTTCATTAATAAAATGCGGTCATATCTTAACAATACTAATTAAATTAACAATCATTCCATATTTTTGTTTTCTTCTAAGTGCATAATCTCACTATTTCTTTCTTATAGTATATACAGAATGTCGTATTACTATCATACGAAACATAAATTTAATTATAAATTTTTGAGAAATTTTGAATTAATTTTCTCTCATAGCAAAAGTTCAATAAAAAATTAATTTGTCGGACCTCCATAATCTTTGATGTTAAATACTACAGATAAATAATCTTCAAACTAAAAATTAATATTAATCATATAAAATAAAGGTAAAAATATAGATTAGGGGAGCCCCCCTCAATAATCTTGCCCTTGACATATATTATCAAGGTCATTGAGAGGGGGCTCTCCTAAACTACATTTTTATATAAATATTATTTGATATCGTCCACTATTTATTCTTAAAATTTAATTGATTAAAATTTTTATTTTTAATTATTTATATCCGATGTAAATAATTTACATTTTTTAGTTGAGCTTTTAGCATTTAAAGAGTGAAGCTTTGAGTTGAACTTTAAGTGGAATTCAAACGAAATCTCAAGCTGAACCTGGAATCAAACCTGTAAGAGAGATTATCAACTCTCGTATGTGTCGCGTATGCACATTTATTAACTGTACAAAACATACAATTAAAATCATAATATAGATCACAAAAATGGTCGCAATGCTTATGAAGTTCTCTAAATTCAATTCAAGGTTCGATTCAAGATTTGGCTCGAAATTCCTTTTGAAGTTCGATTTCGATAATTTGGAAAAAAAAATTTCTTGAGATCAAAAAAATGTTCTATAATAGAAATACTATAACATACTCCGTATAAATGTACTTTTATCATTTTTTTTCTGCACATTCTTATTACTACAATTTATTATTTTATTTCATATTATTATATAATAAAAAATTATTACTATTCTATAAATATTTAAAGAGCTAAAGAATTTAGTTTCCTTCTTTTCTTAACTATGAAAAAAAGGCGGAGAATCAATTGATTATGATTAACGTCAGTAGAAAAAATATTATATGTAAAATTATACGAACTTTTTGATACATGGTATTTTAGAAAATTAAAATATAGTTTATATCGCAAAATAACAGCTTAAAAAGTACATGTAATTAGCACATTCCAAAAAATTACGTCCATTTAATTTACTTGAAAGTTAACATTTTTGTATTTCTAAAATCTAAATTATAGATCGATATTGAAAGATTATTCGCTTGAATAATGATAGCAAATAATACAATGTCAAACAATTACAAGATATTAAGTTGAGCACTATCGATCACTAGAAAAACGACGGTAGATACTTTTCATCAACATTTTGTACTTTTTATCGGCTGTATACTATATATGTGCATTATTTAAAAAATTCGCAAAATAAAAAAAAATTAATTCAAATTAATTTATAGTTCCTTAATTTGTCAAAGTTAATGTTTTTCGAATTAAATATATGCTTTAGTTGTATTCATTAAATTGTAATACCAAATGTACGTTTTCTAAACGCATATTATTTATTAAAATTTATATAGAAAAGCCATTTACTTTGTTTATATTACAGTTCAATTAAATTATAACATCAAAAACCAAAGAATATATAAAGAAAATTCTTGCAAAAATTACATTAAAAAAAAAATTTTTTTAATAAAACATTTTCTATTAAACGTATTTATTTACAAAATATATTAAGAAAACTCTTCTTTTATTTTGGAATAAAGTAAAATATATTTTAATTTAACAACGATCATACAATTTGGTTTGTTTCTCGTTTGAATACAATTCAATCCCAAATATATAGATAGTTGTCGATTATCGAAATATTTCCAGTATATTTTACAAACCTACTCTACTAATTGTTAATATTATTTTATTATAAAATACTTACCATATATTTTAAATATTTTGCTAAAATTTTCTTTATGTATTTTTTCGTTTCTAAGTTACACTTTAAGATGGCTAAAAGAACAAGAACCTATAATGTATAATTTTTTATCAAAAATCTCGTAAATAAAAGTTTAATTACAATTAAAAAATGCACTATATCTTTTTATATATTCTTGATATAAATTATATGTATATAAATAATTCAGTAAATATAAATGAATAAATATTATGGTACGTATCTCCCTCTCCCTCTCTTGCAAGAATATATTTTGTATATTTAAAACAAAATAAAATTAACCTCATCATTTGAAAAATTCTTCAAATATATCATCATTAGAATACTAGCATAAATACAATGTGATATTTGTAAAAGATATTGTCAATTTTAATTAATCGGCAATATATATGTATATATACAGAACGCATGTATAATGTACGTTAGCAAAAATTCAATCTAACCCGTTATATTTATGGGAAAAAAAAACATTAATATAGCACTAAAGTCAAAAGTCACTGCGCAAAATCATTAAACATTATTTATTTATCTGTAGATCTATCTTTGAATTGCATATAACTTCTAGGATTAAATCTAGATATTTAAGCGTCTTCATACTTACATGTCACACTTACGTAATTCATGTTACACGTTCTACCCTGTCTTTCATTCCATATTAATTAAAGGCACCTGAATTCAGTTATATGTTGAAATTAGTTACTGTATTATAGAGCAATCAACCAACAATTTAATTAATGTAATTAAAAATTAATGTTAATGAAAAGCATTAAAATAATTATTTATTATTAAATTTTGTTAAAATTTTAATTTACTTTACAATTAAAAAAATTAATTTAGAAAATAGAACTTTTAGGCACTTTATATTATTGCACAGGTACTAATAACTTCTCTCATTAGAAACTAAATTATGCCTTATCAATTTTCATTTAAAAAGATAGAAAGTTTTGCGTCGCATTTAAGAATATTCATTATTCTAAATATCTTGTATAATATATAAACAATATCACAGTGATGACAACATTTATGATTATAGCATATAATTATTCGCGTATTTTTATCGTGATGTTGTGATTTGATTATTAAATATATTTTATCCGAAACTATACGGAATTATATATTATCATGTAGACAGTTTATAAAAAAAAATTAATTTCTACATTTTAATTCGTTTACCATATATTATATCAACTTACTATACTGCGAGTAACTTGAGTAATTTTAGGCACTTAGATATCAACACACTATACAATTTTCATATACAAGATTACGTCCAATCAAAAAAATATTTTACTTTTATAGCCTTTAATTCCAATAAAATATTTGGTTTTGAAAAATCAACACTAGTTATTAAAATTGATTTCAATTGATAATTTAAAAAGTATCGATTATTTTTAGTTTTATATACTTTTGCAGATTTTTTAAAAATACGTTCTCTCTCTTTCTCTTAATTCGAGATCAAAGTTGATTTAAATTTATCAATAACCTATTATTATTTTTCTAGAGTGTTGATGAAATATTCTGAGATCAATTGAGATTTTTGATCAATTACATTTTGAATTTAATCACGATTATCAGCTCAATGTTTCTTCATATGATTAAGCATAATCGTTCGCGTGACAAATCCCTTTCCGCATAGCGTACAGGTATACGGACGCTCTCCCGTATGATAACGGCGATGCACGGTGAGCGTCGACGCTTGCGTGAATGATTTGCCGCACATGGCACAGAGATACGGCCTCTCGCCGGTGTGAATGCGCTGGTGCACCACGTAATACTTGCGATGCGTGAAACCCTTGCCGCATACGTCGCAGACTAGCGGTCGCGATCTATGCACCGCTTTATGCGTGGTCAACGATTCAGCGGTCGTAAACTGCTTGGAACACGAGTCGCAAGGATAAGAAGGTATGGACTTGACGGGGATTACGGGTCCACCATTCCCACCACCGGCACCGACACCGAGATTGCCGGCTACCACCGAATCGACAGGCAACGACACCGCATTGGTACCCGCGATTATCCGATTTTCATTACTCGCTGGCAATGGTTTATGGGTTTTTGCGTGGTGATTATACAAGTTGCGAGTTTCGAAACGCATCAAGCATCTCGGGCAGGAATAGGGTTTCTCTTGGCCGATTTCTTGATGCATCCTCCGATGACGTTCCAGTAGTGTGCGATACCGAAAACTGGCCTGGCAGAGATCGCAGGCGAATGTCTTTTCCATGTTGCCACCGGGCGCTGTAACGAGACTGGCAGAGGTTGACGCGCATGTGGGCATAGGCGTAGAATGCGTGACTTCATGCATCCTCAGATGATTCAAAGCAACGAAGGTCCGCGAACAGATCGCGCATGAGTACCGCGGCTGATTCTCGATACCATGCTCGAATTCCGGACGCGCGGCATGACTTGTTCGAATGTGGTAGTTTAGCTTAAGGCCACTTCGGAACTCCAGCCCGCACGTAGAGCACGGATAAGACTCGGTAAAGATTTGCACCTGATCGAGCAAAGACTGATCCGGACACACGGATTGAAAATGTGGGGGGAGCAACGTCGACGATAGCATCGACGATTGGTTCGAGAATATTGAGTTGGCCTGTAGGAGATTACAATTGACGGACATACCGGCCTCCCCAATCTCGGGCGAAGGCGACAGAATCTGTCGCAGCATCCCTGACAATCCACCGAAGGTCTCACCTCCTTCCCTGAAATTGACAAAACCCAAGGACATTGCAACGGAGAACGACCCGTGAGCACACACAATTTTGTCTTTTGATTCGGTTTTTTGTGATTACAAATATATCTTGCATACAGGCGGTGATGAAAGAAAGAGAAAGGAAGAGAAAGATAGAAAAAAAGATAGATCTTATGCTTATGTGAGTGCTGCAAGGTGGCCGGTGCAAGGTGCTTGGGCATTGCTGGCATCCCTCTCGAAACGCAGCAATAATGTGTTATAAGAGCGCATGTGCGAATCGAGAAAGTCGTCGCGATTGTCGTCAAGTCAAACAGCATTGGAAGTTTCATCATCCACTATATGAATACTCATCAAGCTTTCCGAATTCATGATCACTTACATGATAGTATTTAAATAATATTTTAGATCAATAACATTACGACATGATAAAAATGACTTATTAATTACGCGCGCGACATAAAATGATTTTGTAGACTCATATGTGTTCATTAATAATTATAGTTAAAAATGCATACATTAAATATATACATAATGTATTAGATATTCCCTAACGATATAGCAGAAGGGAAAAATAAAGATCAAGCCATAAAATTTGGCAAAGAGTTTGAAAAAAGCAAACTTTTACTCAAAAGACTCACTAATGACTTCGAATAGAACATGTTAAAACGCAAATTAAATCATATATACAAAAATCTCACCTTTATAGGAATTCCATTACGATATGGCATCTTCTTCTCATTTGCACACTGTAAAACGGAGCGATTTTTCACGCACATGTATACTTGTGTACCAACACATTGTAACATGTCATTTTAACATATCACAAATATACCGAATAAGATAAAAACGTAGTTAAGAATTGCAATAAGTACAATAGACAAAAGAAAAAAATCTAACATATTATTCAGTATCGAGTGATAAGTGACTGAATCTATAAAAGTATGACACAGTACAAGCACAAAAAGTGCTATGTATCAATCTTTCATATATCAGATACTCATTGTACTCAAAACTGAACAATATAGTTTTCTCCAATCATCCACAAAAACGTTAAAAAAATTATGACATAAAATAACATACTCTGAATACTATGATACAAATGTCAATTGCAGCCAATTCAAGGCGCAATAATCAACAATTTTTGCATATTTCAAATGCGAAACTGGCGCAACTATAATGCAAGCCTAGTTTTGTTAAAAAGAATTATCCCTCGCGGTATATTATATTTTATTGCACTTATGAAAGCGCGAAATAATGCGCGCAATACAAGCAATGCGCGTGATAGAATAACTCTCGATACCAAAATGGCATCATAAACTTGTCAGATAACGATGCAAATTCGCATTATTTTATTTCGCATATAAGAGATGGCCTATAAATAAAATAAAATACGAAATGTAGAAAAGATAATACTCGCCTTTGTGTCTACAATGTGAAAAATCCTCTTGGTTCAGCAGTCTCTTAACGGACGATTCTTTCTTTTCGCAGAAATCTTCGGATCGGAAGAAATACGATCGTTCATCTTCTTCAACATCGAAATTCTTGACCGTTAACCGATTTGTTTTCTCGGTTAAAATACACTATTACGCAATAATTATATCATCCGGCAAATCATACCGGATCGTATGCAAAATTTATTAACGATTTCGTAAAATACGTATTTTTTTTTACGTCGATTAAAAGTAACTCTTAACATTAGTCGTAACATTAATAGAGTAATACAATGTCCTGGCAATATCGTAAAGCGCAGGCGTCGGAAAGCACGAAGATCATAAATCAGAAATAGTAGATATACGTTGCATTAAAAAAATATCTATCGTCTGTGATTTTTTTGGATCGGCCGAATATCGGTCATGTGCGGCATTTAGTGCCATCACGTAAGCGTGGGAATATTAATATCGACAACATGTAAACATTTGATTCATGAGTGGACAAAGAGATCAGGCTGGTTTCTCTCAGACATCACCACTATTGCTAGATGAGAAATTAATTCCTTTCTCATGTAATGTACCTGGATAATCCAGAGAAATCCCTCTATCCATTTTTTGCACATATATAAATAATATCTAACAAAGTCCATTTCGATTAAAGTATAAAATTAGTATCATGTTCGATGAGATGTAAAGAACATTGTTACAGAATTGATATTAAGATCGTGTTTTATCGAAATGCACTTTATGTACATGCTACCACATGTAAAAGTAACAAGGTGCTTAGCAATTTGTATTCTAAACTCATCACGTAATACATGTTTTTTCTTAATAACAACGTATTAAATCGTTTAAAATTAATGAGAATGTGTTATACATAATATATAGAAATTTAAAAAATTGTTCTATTTAAATTGCTAAACACCTAGGGCCAAAGATGGTTGTGGGGTGTGTTATAACTTACCTTGTGTTTACCCACATTTCTGACATTTATAAAAATTAAAGCTACAGATGTAATTATTTATCTTGCATTTCTATTTTACAAGCTCGATAATTCTTTCAATTACTTATTATCAATTTTACAAACGAAAGGGCATAATGTATAATTAAAATTTAAAACAGAGTATATTTTCATATATGCACATTAAATTTTTTTAAAATAAATATACTTTTCTCTCAATACTATTAATGACTTCTCTGTTGAAGTTATTAAAACTATTTTTCCATAATAATTCGTTATCATTCAATACATTGTTAAATTTATTCTACTTATACACATCTTTGATTTTACATTTACATAAATTCATTTTAAAACTCAAATAGTTGATGAAAAAAATGAGTAAATAAAACCATCGCGATGTTTATGTATAATTGTATATGTTTACCACAACAAATGACACCTTTGGCCCTCAAACAGTAGAATAAGAACAGAAACTCACCCAGTTTTTGGATCCACATCTGTTGTTTGCGGTATTACTATCTCTGGCATGTCTGTAATTTTCTGTTGTTGAAGTCCTGAAGGTCCTGCTTCGTCACATGGTAAGGAAACATTGACAAATGTTGTAGGCTCTATAGTTCTATTATTAGGATCGTCTTCACTTTCTTCTTTTATAGGTAGGCCTTAAACAAAGAATTTAAGGATTTCTTTATTTTTCTAAACTTTATTATTTACCTAGTAATTAAATACATAAATTATAAAATATAATGTGTGTGGATAGCACAGACATACATACCTTCGTCTCCATCACATTCATCGTCTGAGTTTTCTTCTTCGTCACTGCTCTCTTCTTCTTCTTCATGTTGCGTAGACGCATCCGTTTGGGTCTGTGTGATTTGGTCATGTGTTGCTTGTGTGCTTGGTCCAGCTACTGGTTGAACAGAGCTACCAGTGTTATCCATAGGAACTGAAGTTATTTGTTGTTGGGTATTACTCGACATTATCATGGGCATACTGAGGCTCATGTTGTCCATCATACTCATATTCATATTGTTCTGATGTTCGCTTACTTGTTGCATCACAGTACCATCTAACCTGTTCTCATTGCTCTGATCTGGTTTTATTTCGTTCTAAAATTTAATAAAAAGAAAGACATTTTATATTTATCAAGAAATGAAAGTTTCAATGATAAATTAAACTTAATTTATTAATATTTTGTCTCCTAATTGAAATAATCCAACTTATCCTTTTAATTTAATTATATCTAACCATTATATTTCATGTAATATTTTTACAAAATTTATCAATTACTGAGTAATACATATGGAAAAAATCACAATATATTAAGTATTAAATATATTAAGTATTAAAACACAAACTTACAAGTACACAATATGCAAAATATTATATCACTAGCCATTATCATTGCTAAGGAGTTCAGGTAAACATAGACAAAAGAAAAACCAAACAAATGATGCTCTACAGATTTATATAATTTTTAAAGGTCTTCTAAATTTCCAAAGCTGTACAGTATTGTACAAAATGTAGGTAAAATTTTTCGTAAGTTTGTTGAAAAAAATTAGGTAACAAATAAAATTATATGGAACAGTAATTACCGGATTGAGAACATTATAACCCTGTTTATCTTCCATGTTCACATCGCCTAGCCATTGGAGCAATTGTTTCTCGGCATTTGCAGTCGTATGCCAAAATTGATAACATAATTCTACTTTATACACGCAATCATCGCATATCTTTTTAGGTAATTTGTCTTCCCTGTTCACCTATAATCATAAAAAAAAACATTCATAAAATGAAACATTATATCTCGTATACATGTAATTGTAATATTTTATTTTGTATCAAAATTATATTTCGATATATTAAAATTACAAAATTATTACATCTCGTATATTGTTACAATTTAAATTAATTCACGAATATAACGAATACTGCAAATATCATAATGTATGTACATTAATGTAGATTTCAATAAAACTTTTCTAAAAAAGACCTTTTCTAGAAAGGTCTCTCCGGTGCAACAAATATAAGAGACGCCATTAAACCGTGGGCAATCAACGAGAAAGAAATGGCCAATATACGTATAACGTTTGCCCAGTGTTTTCTCTGTCTGTTAAGCGAGATCACAGCTCGGCATGAATCGAAACGAAAGATAAGAAATTCTCAAATAAAATGGGAGAATATTGATCCAGGGGGACGCCGAGTAACCGTTGACGTACCACGCGCCGTAATGTCGGCGACAAGATGTCGAAAACGGGGCTTGAGGATTAATAGACCTCGCGATACGCGCAATTGAAAATTACCATCGATCGCGTTTCTCGCGAGGGACAGGAACGACTCCGTCGGCGTCGACGCGCGGCCGAAACGGGGACGTATTTTATTTTTATCAAACGGCGTCCGCGCGAGGTAAAAAGCGCGGCAAAAGTCCATCGAGCAATTAGCGGGATCACAAAGGCGACGAGACGGAGATAGTATGGCGCGCAATATGTAGCGTCAATATAGCGTGCCATCGCGACGACGGATTACCGAGCGGCGGTTCCTCGTCAATAGAAATACGCCCAAGGAACGCCGGGGATCGAGATCTCCGTCGGCGGAGGTCGATTTACGATGCGTCCGCAAAGACTCGGCAAAATGGCGGATCGTCCGAGCTCGGCCGAATGGCGTAGTTAGCTTCTTACCTTGACCGGCAAACAGGCGGTGATCTTGAGGAATATCTGCCGCACGTCACCCTCGCCTTCGAAAATCGGCACGGAGACGCGGTCCTTCACGAGACACAACCGGCACAGATCCAAATAGTCGAGGGAGGACATTTTACCGCGTGAAACGCCAGCTTCGAAACGCAAAGCCGCGCCCGTTAAAAGCGTACGCTGTTGTCGCCGTTCGCCACAGATCCGTACAGAGAGGGGCCCCGCGCGCGTCGTTCACTATGCGTCGCTTCTCAACCGCACCTCGGCCGCGTCCGTCTCACGTCGGCCCTCGTCGGTACGCTTCGGCTACAGTCGACGCGCTTCGACAGTTTCCGTGACGACTCAACGGTCGCGTTCGCGTATCGATCAGCTTGACCGAAGCCAACCGCCTTTACACACGACGACACGACAGTCTCGAGCGACAAAAGGGTTCTCTCCTTGAAATATGACTCGTAAATCGATGAGAGGTAACAATTCGATTTCTCTTCAAAATCTCTCCCGAAAATCAGAATTATTCTTTTCTTTTTTTTTTTTTTTCCTCTTACCGCTTGCTTCAATTGTCGAAACCGAGATCGAATCGCAGTTCAAACGTAACCGGCGAAATTATTTTTCCGTTAATTAACTGAAATAATTGCGTAAATTGTTTTCCAGAAGAAAATTCTTGGCTCCGTATAATATTCACGATGCCGATTGATTGATCGGGCAGGTGACTGAGAGAAAAGGTCGCTCGAGTGCACGCCATGAAGTTTTCATGCTCAATTACTCCCACTTTAGTTAGATGCTCAACGACGCATGATCAAACCGTGTAACGGCTATCAGCGGACAACAAAGAGACCGGTAGAGAAACTGTTGATATCTATTCATTGATTCGTACACCGCTCTATATATACAGCACTTTTTGCGTAAGTCGTAAACGATCGCTACTCTGTCATTTAATTTGAAATTACGAAAACATAAGCTATGTTCGTGGTTCGAGGAGCGCGCTAATCAGTGCTATTATGTCATTCTGACTGCGTTCTATTGCATGCATAATACGCATGATGTATCATTTTATCCTTATTTATCACTCTATGAATAACAAGGATAAACTTAGTACCTCAAGTGCATTATGCGTGTAATATGACATAGCTTCTATTTGTGTTATTTGCTAAACATAAAACAAAAATAGAATGGCATAATAACGCTAATAGCGCACTTTCCGAACACAATCTTAGAAATGAGCCGAAATAAGATCGATGCAAGTGTCATCATATTTTAACACAAAAGCAATTGATTTATCTGTGTTTAAAGAGAGATAAAGAAACATACACGAACATAGTATAATTATATAAATCTAAAAAAAAAAATCATGGAAAATATATTTTTTTCATCTTTTTAAATTTTTTGGAGTAGAATCTTGTCTTAAAAAGTAAAAATTGTACTAATCTTGAAAAGGAGTGGCTCAATTTTGAATCTTTAATGCTCGTTTCCACTAATGTAGATTAACTTTAATCTCGGTTCAATTTACTCTTCATGTTTTTTTAATCTTTAGAACTAAAAAAAGATGAAGAATAAGTTGAACCAAGATTAAAGTTAAGTCTACATTGATGGAAACGAGCATAAGAGTGAAATTTTACTCTTTAGAGGCAATTCCTGCTCCTTATAGATATCATGGTATTCTTGTTTAACATTTCGTGAACAACAAGAATAAAATGACACTTGAATGGCACTTGGAGTAAAAATCTGAACACAGCTTAAAGTGTGAGATTCACTCTAAAAGTTTTAAAGAATGTACTTCTTATTTTCAATATTTTTAGTGGAAAAAACCAAAAGGTAAAAACCAAACATTTTATTTTTTTAAATAAGAGTAAGAAAAATCGCAAGAGAAAGAATTCGATGAAGTGTCACCATCTCCGTTTGTATATCATTGGATCGTGAGATGCCTTCACACGAAACGAATAACGATCTCTTTAAATTCTTTGAAGTAGAATCTAAAGAATGAATCTCATTCTTAAAAATTGCCAATTTTGCCATTCTTTTTCCAGACTAGCAAAATTTTCACTGTATTGAGTGAGATTTCACTCTAAAAATTTTAAAAAGATTTGTCGTATTTACCAAAATTAAATTTCAATGGATTTTTTTCTAACATGATGAATCATCTATAAATATAGTACTGAAGTTAATCATCATTTAGAAGGATATCATTGTCGATAAATTGTCTAGCGCTCGATTGATACAAAAATCTGTCGCTTAATCGCGATCTAATGTGAAACCGGCTTTACTCTGACGTAAAAAATATCAATGATCTCTTGCGTCCTACGTTGCTGCATTGATTGCGTTTTACTGTGATGATGCTTGAAAAATGCTTGAAAATGAAATGAACTGAGATGACTGAGACCATCGCAGCTCTTATTAACTCGATTAGAGGTCGTCACATCTCTTATCGTATAGAAAACAGAGATCTGGTCATTCAAAATAACATTATGTTATTAATTGATCAACATAATAATTACTAATTTTTATTTTCTATAATTGTTTTTAGAAATTTTATTTAAAAAACGCGTATAGGTATATGTATATAGGTGTACGTATAGGTATACCATAACTGGACATTCTAAGGGTCTTTCACCAACTTCTGTTAACTTAATCGGCCGATTAGGGAATTGACCAATCGTGTCTGTCGTCAAAACTAAATGATAAATACGATTGGTCAATCCTGCAAAGTTACTGGAATGGTTAAGTTAACCGGAGTTTGGTAAAGTCGCCCTAATGCCTATTTCCACCAATGCAGATTAACTTTAATCTCGGTTCAATTTGCTCTTCGTCTTTTTCTAGTTCTAAAAATTAGAAAAAGATAAACAGTAAGTTAATCCAAGATTAAAGTTAATCTTTATTGGTGGAAATTAAAGTAAGGCTTCAGAATTAAATAACAATGGTCCTAGACGATTTTCAAGGATTTCAAAAATTTCAGGTTTCATTCGAAAATAATGCCGAGATTGACTAGTATATCGAGGAATTATATACATTTTCTATATAACTTCTTATACGTGCAGACTTTTTTCCTTTGATTCGTTAAATACTTTCTATTAAAATAACCTCCTCAAAATTATCGTCGTCACTTTCGGCATTTTCAATTTCTCTCATAACATTTGAAATAATCTATGATTAGCTATCATTTCTTAATTAGGTGTGAAGAAAAAGATAACGTGACTTTAGTGTTTACCGTATCTGAGTATCGATCATGAAACTTTTCCCAGGATAAAAAGTGAAAAGTGAAAAATTTTTCCATTAACTTCATTGGTAAAAGTTTTCACTTTTCACTTTTCATCTTAGAGAAAAGTTTCACGATCGATACCTTGGGAGATAAACGATATTACAAAAACTTCCTATTATCCGATTTCGACAAACCGTAACTTCTGCCATTGTTACTTAAGTATTTTATTTTATCTTTTGCGTTCAAAAAGTCTCTCGTTGAACTTTAGTCAGTCTCTGAGCACAGGATTGCCATAACGCATTAAAACTCTCTTTTAGAACAATTAACAAGATTATTCTTGACTTGCTTACTAAACGATTAGATTATTTACTTTTGCTTATATAGCACGTGGTAGAACGCTTGCATAGCTGCATAAACATATGCATAAAGAAAATTACCCAATCACATTTTACGTGCGACTTTATAAGAGAAATGCGATTGGATAATTTTCTTTATGCATACGTTTATGCAGTTATGCAAGTTGTGTGGATATACCTTTAAGGCGCAGCACAGATTTTTGCATAACGCATAACGCATAGTGTATAAGCGAATCAATTAGAAATCTTCCTTTCTTCCCATTTCATGAAAAAGAAGAATTTTGATTATGCATATTCCCGGATCTACAATACGTGTTTTAAGTCTTAAACAAAAAAAAAATCAACCAATTACGGTTGGAAGCGGGGAAAATAGTTGACTATGATTCGTTCATTTCTTATGGCTTAAGTCCATGACACATAGAAAAACGTAAGGCCGTAAGACGTAATCAGTAAGGAAATCGTAACATTGGATTCGCTGTCGGCCTTACGGTCTCTACTGTGATTGGCCAATTCGCTTACTGATTACGTTTTACGGCCTTACGTTTTTATATGTGCCATGGACTTTAAATCGGGGAGCACAGACTTTTGCATAACGCATAAACCATATACATAAAGAATTTGATTGGTCCTTTGACTCATGCATAAGAAAATGGACCAATGAAATTCCTTATGCACATGCTTTATGCGTTATGCAAAAGTGTGTGTTTCTCGCTTAAAGCGGGGAGCACAGACTTTTGCATAACGCATAAAGCATGTGCATAAGGAATTTCATTGGTCCATTTTCTTATGCATGAGTCAAAGGACCAATCAAATTCTTTATGTATATGGTTTATGCGTTATGCAAAAGTCTGTGCTCCCCGCTTAAGGCTTAGAACTCTGTTGTAGATCCAGGGTAATGCGTTATGCTAGTTTGTGTTGCGGTCTTTTATATTTACTCATATCCATAACACTCTACCTGATGAGTAGATTTTCGAATGCACCTAAAGGTGTTCAAAACACTGTGTTACCTTCCAGTGATCATATCCTTGTTTAAAATTAAATGAAATCACGTAAGACAATATTTCAGATAGTAATTATCCCCTCGTCTCATACAGTACAACACACTGATCATCTCATTCTTGTTCAACATTGGCAAACAACAAGGATGTCATGATACACTGTATCATACCATGTCATCTGTATCGCTTGTTGGGAAGCACACATTTATGTGCCTGTACAAGTGTGTACGTGTGTTCATTTTATATACTTTTTAAGTAAGATATTGATCCAGTTTTATAAAAAAGGAGGAGATATAATTTTTTTATGTTAAATGTAAATATTCAACATAATAAAATGTCTAGAACATAATTTTTGTTCCAATGAAAACCGAACATAATTTTTATCGATAATCTCTATATTAATATAATTTCATAAATAGAAATGATATAAACTTTGCTATTACACATATTTTATGAGATTTTCAATCAATTTTTATATATTAAAATAATTTTACTTTTTTTTTTAAACAGAATAATTAATAATTTTTTGAGATATGGTACACTTCAGGACTTACATGTAAGTGGCTTAAATTACTCCATTCCGCTCCCTTATGTCTACAAAGTAGAAGACAAAATTGACGAGATTGAACAGTAATTTTGCAAAAATCCGAATGCTTCCATTAGAAAAGCTGCAAAAGCGCTCAAATTATCTGTATTACTATTGAAAGAGTTTCTCGGTGTTTTTTTCGAATTGCTGCCCTACAAAGTAGCAATCCGTGAGTCATCAAAGGAACGTACTAAAACACATCGTAAATTTTTTTGCGAGTACAAGAAAATTTTTTGAGAGTACCGAATAGTTCTGAGTAGCGTTTCGTATAGTTCTCGACGAGTTCTATCGAAAACTGTAAGGTGAAAAAGCGATTAGACCAACGGTTTGCAAGATACAGCGACATTTGTCAGAAGATCAACAATTTTTAAAGTGAGTATATCTGGGAAACCGCTGGTCCAATCGCTTTGAGCCCTAATACTTTTCGACAGAACTCGCCGAGAACTGTCCAGAACTCCGATCAGAACTACTCGGTACTCCCAAAAAATTTAAACTTTAAAATTTTTCGAATTCCCACGTCGGAAAATTTTTTGAGAGTACCGAGTAGTTCTGAGTAGCGTTTCGTATAGTTCTCGACGAGTTCTATCGAAAACTGTAAGGTGATAAAGCGATTAGACCAACGGTTTGCAAGATACAGCTACATTTGTAAGAATATCAACAATTTTTAAAGTGAGTATATCTCGGAAACCGCTGGTCCA